TGTAAGTAAAATTTCAATTGCTGGTGGTGGTGGTTTAAGTTGTGCTAATTGGATTTGTCTATTTAAACAACAAAATCCTCTTTTTTCTTCTTTCCATTTTAAAGCAAAACAATATTTACAAATAATATTCATTTTTTCTAATCTATGTTTTTTAATATTATTATCATCATTATTATCACTATTATCATTATAATCTCTATCATCATCATCTCTATTATCATCATTATTATAATCATCATCATCATCATCATCATCATCATCACTATTATCACTATCATCATCATCTCCATTATCATTATCTCCATCATCATCTCTATCATTATCTTCATCATCCCCACAGTCTTCTTCTCCTACGGCATCATCCTCAAAGTGTCTTCTCCCACAGCATCATTACAGTCTTCTACATCATTTCCACAATCTTTTCTCACATCTTTTTCTCCAATGACAAGCTCAAATTGTGTACGTCCCCATACCACCTTAAGATCTGAAGTCGAAGATCTCAACGCAAGAGTCGAAGAATTGGAGGCTGAGTTGAAAACGGTTAAAGAAGAATTGGAAACCTTCAAAAATCCTGGCACAACATCTTTACGAACGATCCTTAAGTACCCTTTGCCTCGTTCGAAACAGTCGAAGAAGAATCAGAGATCGGTGCCGAAAATCAACTTGAGTCACAGGTATCTAAAAGAAAAAAGTGAAAGACTATGCTCTTTTCTCAACTGCTTACCAGTGAAATGTCGTTAAAGTTGTTAAAAGACTCAGAGGAAGATGCTAAAAAAAAGGCTAATGAGATAAAACGTAAGAAAGAAATTGCGGCTCAGAAACAAATAAAACGGGAGGCTAAAAAGGAACAAGCAGAAAAAGCAAAAAAAGAAAACTAACAATTAATTGAAGAAAAAAAAAAAAAAAAAGTTATTTAGATAATTAAATTTTACTTATCTAATCTGTGTGTCATTTTTAGTCCACTGCCTGAAGATCACAAGTTTTATTAAAAAATTTTTACTTATTATAGAATATTTTTTTTTTATATAAAATTTTTTAAAAAAAATAAAAAAATAAAAATTTAAAACCTTTAGAATAAATATTTATTAAAATTTTATAATTTGTAAGTTGATTTTATAAAGTTATCTTATAGAAGAAGTTAACTGCGTCATAATACCCCCTCTTACTTTATAATTAAAAAAATTTATTTAATATAATATATATTATAGAACTATAAATGAATTACCATTTTGACATTTCTCCAGATGATTAGCAGGCATAGAAAGGTCAGGGTTGATAATAGTTGCAATAAAAGCTAAAGTGATCAAAAAGATTAAATAAAATTTTGACAACATTTTGAGGCTAATTTTTTTTTTTAAGTCAAGAGGAAATGTTGAGTAGAAAGCAAAAGAAAAAGAGCGAATAACTTTCTAGATCATCTAATTAAATATTAATATGCACTATTATTATGAATTAACGGCGAGCTCTCTTAATCCGATATGCTACTTTCAATTAATTAGACATACAAATTTTCTCTAAGATGTCTGAAACTAGCAATACCAGCTTCAGTTTCAGTCAACCTAAAACTATGAAGTTTTGATAATAATATAAGGAAAAATATGAACTCTCTAAATACAACAATTTTTAATGCTCACTATGTGGTTATCAGTTTTATAATAATGTATTTAATTATTAGTTAGTTATTAGTTAGAGTTTATTTTATTTTATTTATTTAGTTATTAGTTAATACTTAATTAGTTCGCGCTTAAACAATTATAAATTAAATGCATATATGCATATATTAATATGCATATATATGTGGTTGCTAAACTGATTTATAAATAATCTTACTATTTATAGATTAATATAAAATAAATAAATAAATATGCATGCACTATTCCATTTTAGTTATAAATAAATTAAATACGTTGAAAAAGTTTTTTGCTGTCTAACTTTTTTTTTAAAAAAAAATTTTACAATTCTTTTTTAAAAAAAAACAATTTTTTAACAAAATTTTTAATTTTTATTTT